CTTGGAGAGGTTGCCATGTGGGGGCTCACATTGTGGATGCTTGGAGGGCTACGCCTCTTTGTGTGTGGTGGTGTATTTGGCTCGAGAGGAATAGAAGATATTTTGATGGGAAGGAGTTGTTGATTTCTACTCTTAAATTCTCTATTATTTCCACCCTTTTTTGTTGGGTTTATGGGAGAGATCATAGATCTTTAGATGAAATTGTCGATTTTTTGGCTTCTTTGAAGGCCTAAAGGTCCTTTGTGGTCTCGTGTATATTTTCAGGGTTTCGCTCCCCTTTTGAGCGCTTTTATATAATTATTCTTACTTATCAGAAAAAAAAAAAAAAAAAAAGCAACCTTCTCAACTCTCATCACGTCCGCTCTCACCACCTCCCAATTCTTTTGGAAAAAATCCATTGTGAACCCATCCGGCCCCGGCGCTTTATCTCCGTCACAACTCTTTAGAGCATCCAACACTTCCTCCTCCCCAAAAGGCCTTTCCAACCCCACCCTAACCGCCTCCGAAATTATATCAAACTCAATATCGTCCAACCTTGGTCCCCAAGAGACAGACTCTGTGAACATCTCCTGCTAGTATGCCACAAAACCTGTCCGAATCTCCTCTCCAGAAGTTCATAACTCCATCAAAACAAATCCTCCCCATGATGTTCCCTCTTCTATGAGCGTTGTCTAAGCGATGAAAAAACTTAGTATTCCGATTACCTTCTTTAAGCCACAAAGCTCTAGATTTCTGTCTCCACGAAACTTTCTCCATTACTACAGTCTCTTCAAACTCAGCTTTGCACTCCTCCCTTCTGCTCCTTTCCACCCCAGAAATCCCCTCAACCCCTTCCTTCTTATCCAGCTCTGAAGTTTCCATAAGAAGCTGATTCTTCCTCCACTCCAGTTTGCTAAACACATCCTTATTCCAAACCTTAATATCTCCCTTTAGGCGTCTTAGTTTAGATGCCAACTGAAAACTTGGATTACCCCTAACATCATACCCACACCACCAATTCTGGACCTTGTCTTTGAAATCTCCCACTTGTAGCCACAAATTTTCAAATCTAAATGGGGATTTTCCTCGCCTGATCCCTCCACAATCCAGCAATACAGGAACATGATCAGAAATTGCCCGTGCACATGCCACTTGGGACACATCTGGAAACTTCTCCTCCATCTCTACTGAAATGAGAAATCTATTCAGCCGAGAAAAAGGAGGAGGATCACGCCCACTCGACCATGTAAATGCACCTCCCACCATAGGAAGATCCAACAACCTGTTAGCTTCCACGAACTCAGAGAAATCAGCCATTGCTCCATCCCACACACCCCTAGAAGTTCTCTCCCTAGTGCTAAGGACAACATTAAAGTCTGCCCCAACACACCACGGCACTCCCCATCTGCTGCTAATGAACCCCAGCTCCTCCCACAATTCTCGGCGCTCCACGTCACCAGCAGGCCCATAAACCCCCGAAAAGCACCACTTCGACCCATCTTCTTCAAACTCAAATAAAACTGATAATGAATGCTTCCTTTTCCACACATCAATCTTCGACACCCATCTCCTATCCCAAAGAACAACAATGCCCTTAGCAGTCCCCTCTGCATCAACAACCTCCCAATCCACAAATCTACCCCCCCACAGACTTTTCATCACCTTGGCCTCCTCCACATCCAGCTTGGTGGTCTCCTGCAAGCAAACCACCTGCACTCTCCATTTACGAATCAACGCCTTCACCACCTTCCTCTTCCTCGTGTATTTAATCCCCGAACATTCCAAGACACAATATTGAGCTTCATTGACAAACACTAAGTCTTCCACTGTCCCTTCTTCCCCCACCCCTCTTCACTCTCCTTGCTCCACTCCTTCCTTCATAATTAACATCAGAAAACAGGCTCTTCAAAACTGGCATGCTCTTTCAGTTCTCGCACCCCTTTCAAAACTGGCATGCTCTTCGCCTTCTTCCTTATCCATTCATCCTCCACTGCTTGAAACAAGTCCTTAACTTGCTGATCCTCCCCTTCCCACGTCAGCCCCAGCGGAGTATGAACCCCCCCCCCCCCCCCCCCCCGCCTTCACCAATATCCAATAGAGGATATAAATAATCCATATCAACTCTGCTATCACATAAATCATCCTTTTCACTGCATGAACTAACCTCAGGTTACACACGGTCAGCAACTCCTCTGTCAGTAAGCAACATACACCTACACCCCACACAAAATTTAGAACCCCTTTTGGCTGTCTCACTCGACCTCAACTTGATGAGCCCCTTCTCTTCCCCTTGCTGTTCATACCCTCCCTCATCCCTGACTGAAAAATCAGACCCCCTCCCTTCACCCTCCACTTCAAAAACCGGCGTAAGCCTCTGAACTATCGATGATCTCACCCTTCCCTCCGTCTCACCCACTCTCCTCACCTCCCCAGAAGGAGTAGAAGTAGAATCATGGGTAGAGAAAGAAGATTTCGGCTGGAACAAGACAGTATACATACTTGGACCACCATCTCCAACCACATCCCATTTTTGTTTCTGAAACCTCGACCATCTTTTGCCTATCGACCACCTACTTGCCTTAACAGCGTGAAATGGTTGAACTAGGGCGCCTGAAGTCTTGCCCCTCTCCTCTTGACCTCCATTCCCTGCCTTAGCCGAAAATTGTGAAGACCCCTTCATTGAAGGCATACTCTGTGATACTTTAGCCCCAGCCCTAAAGTTACTCCCATATTGATCCAGCGCAGCCACCTGAGTCCCCACGTGGGCCTCCTCAAACCAAGCACTATGACCCTCCCCCAAAGGCCCAAAGCCATTAAACACATGCAGCCCAGGTGACTCCACACCCACACCCCCAGGTCTTGGCCAACAAACTGGCCTATACCCTTCGGTCTTCCTTTCTGGCCCACATGAGTAAACCCATCCTCGTGAATCACCCCATCCCTCGCCTGATCCACCCACTATCTGGCTTCAGCCCACACTTACTCCTCCGCATGGGCTCAACTTGAGCCCGCCCTAACACCCTCTAGCCCAAACTACCACCAACCCCAGCCCAAGCAGGGACACCCCCCCCCCCCCAAAAAAAAAAAAAAAAACCTTTTCACCAACCCCATATCCTTTGGCTGAAGATTATGTCCTGTAATCTGGATAGGCACCTAAACAAGCTCCACGTGTAACCTTCCTCCATTCCTTCTGAACGCGCTTGTCCGGCGCATGGCTTCCACTTCGTCTTCCTCCCACATATCTCACTGCTCTTTGGGTCTCCCTTTCCTTCAACCACTCTTGGATTTCAACCGCCCCTTTCTCCCCTTTACTGAGGATCCTGATCCACTCTTCCTCTGTCATCAGATGAGCCCCATCACTTCCTTCTAAGCTCTCTGTGGTAGGAACAAGCTCTGGCAAGACTTCTTCCCAAATTGAGACTCTGTAACAGAAACTGTTGTCATGGATGAACACAAACTTCGGGCACGTTGATCCACTTCTCACTGTAATCCGCACACAATCAGCATCCCTCGTTTCATCCGCAACCACTCTCACAAAGACGCCAAATAAATCACCCACTTCAACAAACAGATCATGACACCATAGCTGCAGTGGGAGCCCCAACATTCGAATCTGCTTCAGCCCTTTATCCCTGAGCACACCACAGCAACCGACCCTGAAAGACCACACATCGATCCTCAATCCCTACTGTCGGCGACCTTCCTTCAACACCCTTTGAGCCTCTGTTGGAGATGGAAACCTAAATAAGAATCTGAAAGAGGCGTCACGCCCACCCCACACGACGTATTCCATGCCCGCTCCCCCACTCTTCTACTCGATCACCCCCCCACCTCTTTATCAAATCATCCCACCAAACATGACAAAAGCATCTATCTTCTCCCTTTCACGGATTCCTCATCAATATAGAGCGATGGCCCTCGATGAGGGATCGCCGTCTTCATTTTCCCCCCAAGTGACAACCTTGGAAGCCTTGCAACCTCAAGAAAGGACTTCATCTTGTATCATCCATGTTATAGATTTTTGGTGGATGTTGTTAAGATACAAAATTATTAATTTGTATAAGATTTTAATTAAGATTATAAATTCACTTCGCACCACGTACATTGCACGTGTGCTTTTACTAGTTTGTTTAAATGGGTCTCTCTTCATAGTTAGAGTATAGAATGCTACCAAAAAGAAAAAAAAAAAAAAAAACCAATCAGATTCTGAAAATGTGCATCGAATCACAATACTGTAAGGGGCACTATATTCTAAAATAAATTCATGTAGCACAGCACTATATGTGCCCTCAGTCCATTACATGGACCATGGTAGTACATATAATGTTCAGCTATTGAAAAGAAATGTATGTTGGAATGGAGGTCTAAATTATGGATAGGAACAATAATTGGTGGATTTACTTGTAAACCCATTAGTTTATAAAATAATTTATTTCTATGCTTTGTATATCTTAATTCTTTCATTTCTTTTGAGATTTGAATAGAAGGAAATATTTCTAAATATCTTTCTCCATTTTGTTGTTTTATTCTTTGTTTAGTCCATCTTATAGAAAAAGATCTGTTCCTACACTCCCGTTCCATGTATTTTTTCCTTTCTCGATTTAGAATTGCATTTATTTTTATGTTCATATATATAACTTTGAAAGGCCTTTTTTTTTTATTTTTATTTGCTGCACTCTCATCACTGTGAATACAAAAAACAATCTAAGCTCTGGAGAAACAAAAAGGCCTGTTGATATAGTAACTCCCGAAACCCTAATGGTCATATTTTACGTGAAAAGATATTAAGTAAAAAATGATTACTGCAACTAATATTATTTCAACTGCAATTGGTATTATATTTCTCTACAGCATTTAAACTAAATGAGCTTTTTAGTATGAAATGTCACAAGCTTACTGGGGACTTGAGTTGCACCAGATCCTGAGTTGTAATTTATACTGTTTATGATCATTGTTATGCTGCGCTTGAGTAATTTTTTGATGTCCTGATTTTTTCTGATTTGTGCATTTCTATGCTGTAGGGCAAGGACATGTTTCTGGTGTCCGTCCTATCACTTCCGCTAAGGTGCCTATTTTAAAAGTCGTCGACTGTGGAACTGGTATTGAGTGTGATATATCAGTCGAAAACAGGGATGGAATTGTGAAATCCAAGATTGTTCGTATGGTTTCTTCAATTGATAAAAGGTTTCAAAAGCTGAGTTTTTTGGTAATGACTCACCTCTCTACTGTTTATACCTCTTAAACTTTCTGCTTATGTTACAAAAGGATCCCCATGTGCAAAACCGCATGCACACTCATACCTGTTGTGAAAGTAAAAGTTTGACATCATTTTAGGCCAGATTATGAGAGATCTTATATTAGGACTCTTGCTTCCTCTTTTGTTATTTAATCACTTTTCCAGCTCACCTTTTCATCTTTTCCTTTTTATGTGTGATAATTCTCTCTTATTTCTCAACAGAAAATAACTCTCTCTATCTCTCTCTACATGATCACTGGTGGGTGCAACAATTGCCAAGTTTTAGGCCAGAATACACTTTGCTGATTGCAAAAAGATTTTCATCAATAAATCATCTAGCATTCTTTCTTAGCAATCAAATTTGATTTGTCCACCTGCCTATGATTTCAAAATGTTTAGAATGAACCCTCTGTTCCACTTTTTTGTCTCTTCTGGACCAGTATAAACATGGAACACCAAGCACAAACCCCCCACTCAGTTATGGTAACTAAAGGAAGGAGGGCAGCATGGAAACCTCCCGCCATGGCACTTCTCCAGCATATTCACAGAGACGAATAACCACCACTACTTCGATGTAAATTAAATGAAGCTAATTTTGAACCTTCTTAATTCTCATATTCTACGCCCTCCTCGAAGTTGATGGTGGGCCCTCTAGCAAAATAAGCTATAATCCAAGTTGCCTGCTCCTTTCACACTGTCCTAGGTTTCGTTGTGTTCCTTTCTGTCTGGAGTTTCACTATATTTGTCAATCGTTTGGTTTGCTTTTTAGGTCAATTGTGCCTTGGACCCTTTCTAATTGTCTAACTATCTTTTTTTCGATATGCTTAGTTTTTGTTGCTAGGTCCTTCTTATTGATTGATGCATTTTTAGCCCCAGTCAAAAAGATTTATTTATGGTTTTCATAGATTTAAAGAAGGCATATGATAGAGTAGACATAATTTGGTGGGCTTTACAAAGAAAATGGGTCCATATGGGCTTTACAAATAAAATTTACAAAGGCTATTCAGGATATTGAGATAAGGGCAAGAGTTTGTACCATATGTGGAGCGATTATTGTTTTTTCTATAAAAGTAGGACTATGCCAAAGATAAGGGTTATTGCTGCAATCCGAGAAGGACAAGACACTGTTAAATGATGAGATGGGCAACTTCAGTGACAGTGCTTTTTGATCCCTCATGAAGAGCAGAATTTATCTCCCTCCATATAGACCAAAGAGTTGTAGGCAAAAGGCACTGAAGAAATGAAGCTCTGACAGACTTAACTCTTGTTGAAGCCAAAGACGAAGCAATCTGCTGATTCAGCTGAGTAGTAGAAAGAACTGACATGTGCAGCAGATAAAAAATCTGTCTCCAAATAACAGAAGCAAAAGGGCACATAGGAAAAACATGATCAATTGAATCCACATTACCATAGCAGCAGTGACCATTAGCAGCCAGCTGAAGACCCTTTCTTCGAAGTGATTAGCCTGCTTGATAAAGTTTTTTCAGAATCCAAATTTTCTCTATCTTCTCAGGCGTTGGGAATCATCTTCTCCGGCCACCTTCTTTAAAGGTTTTCTATTTGCCCTTTTTTTTTTTTTTTTTTGTACTCTCATATGAAATATTTTGTGGAGATTGCAAGGTTGCCTTGCATTACTCAGGGAGATACAGTCAAGTCCGCTCAACCCCAGAGTGGTCTTTTGATCTATCTTGATGATGACTCTAATGGGGGACGCAGGGATGACCTCAGATCCTGTTTGGAAGGAAAGTGCAAGAGAGAAGTTGGAGATCTGGGTCAAATTGCAGATTGGGTTTCTCGCGTATGACATATTTCTTTTGGAGTTGGGGTCTTGCCATTACGTAATTCTCTCATTTTCTTTTGTTTACCCTCACAAGTGGAGGCCATTCAGGTGTTGAAAGAGGGTCAACGTGACAGGGGCGATAACATGTTACGTATTGATTCATGGTGTTTTAGGGTGGGTAGCTCTGGTGTGCTAAAAGAGAAGGGGATGAAAAGAATTGTTGTGTACAATCTTCTTCTTCACCCTTGGTGTCTTGCTCTCTTTGTGACTATTGGGGATTTGTGTGGGTTGAAGCGGATGAGACAAGAAACACTGAATTTGTTTGCATCACGGTGCGAGATGGATGTGATTGTCCTCCGACGATCTACATCCATGATGAATGACTGTCCTACAAAGTTGCTTTATGGGAAGGGACTCCTCCTGAGCTTGTGCCTTAAACGGAGAGTTTGGAAGGAGGGATGACTCTTGTTCGATGAAGGAGGATGAGTTTTGGAAGCTTCTCGCGAAGGGTCCGAAAGGAGTCAACAAGTTTCAGAGGTGGAGAGATGGCCGGAAGATGTAGAGGGATATCAATTTGGTTGGAAGGAGTGGTGCTCATGCGTTTATAGTGAGTGATCGAGATAGGGTGAGAGGGGGGACACATGGAGGGCGAAGAGAACGTTATCCGTATTCTGGGGCTAATCGTTAAAGATTGTTTGAGGTTTAAACAGTTGATGCATGATAGGATGAGATAGAGGCGCAATCCACGTGTTTGGTTTAGGAGGGGGGTGGGGGTGGGGAGACATTGGTTTCTAGTGGGTTGCAGCTGGCATCTACTCTCGAGTTAAAAAATCCAAGGCATGTGACTCGAGAGTGATTTTTGCTACTTCAGATTCTGGGTTGGGCTGAGGGAAACAACACAATTCTAAGATGCAGGAAAATGGGCCTGATTTTACCAGCTCTGTCTATCTAGTGTTCTTTGGCCACAATTCCCCTTGAGCAGCAATGTATAGTATAAGCGGTTTTCCAGGCTCAAGAGCTCCCTTTTGATAGATGAGATACAGGGAATGAATGCTTCTTTTGATAATGTTTTTCTAGGTAACATACAAAGTCAGGCCAGGGTCCGGATCATACCTATAACAATAATAATTTAATGCCTATAGATAAGGTCCAAGGACCTCTACCTAACCAAGGGGAAGATCTTTGCTTAGGGTCCTCCCAAATTGCATGAAGCTTGGCGATGTAACCTGAAACTGTTAAGTCACCCTGAGAAAACCTGGTGATATCTCGCCCCAACTGGAAAATTCGTGCTTTATTCTGCCTTTGAGTATAAGTGCATTGAACTTAATCCCAAATTTACTTAGTAGTCTTCATAAACATATAGCTAATGGCTATGTTTGGTTGCATGCATCGAATTGACTAGCCAAGACATAACCATAGCGTTATCTGCAGATCAGTGTGGATATGCATTCTCTACTCAGCTTGCTCTTTCTCAGAACCAATAATATAGCCAATCTTGCCTTTGCCACCAATGAACATCTTGGTAGACTGTGCCTAAATCAAGTAGTTCGAGCCATCCAACTTCACTGTTGTGATTTGACGTCTTGAATTTTCTGATGAGTTGGTGGGAAAAATGGCACCACCACCCACATAATTTGAGCCAAGAGAATTAACGATTGATGACCCTAAATCTGCCATAATTTGTCACATGACAATAAACAACTCCAAAAACACCACACATTCTGTTAATAAATCAAAGGGTCTCGTCAGACCATAAACAATAACAATGTCTCCTCAGGCCATTCCAGAAAAGTCCAACTACAGACTTTTTCAAGGAGCGCTGCCCGCTTACATAAATAGCTGGACAGCCTCTTGCTCAATATCCGAAACTTCTCTGTAGACTCAAAAAAAAAATTCCCAAGCCCTTCTAGGCATAGTTGTTAAAGGCTTAAGGCGCACAAAAGCGCAAATGCCTCCTGGAGCCTGAGGCGCAAGGCGCAAGGCGAGGAGCGCGCCCGACTGAAGCAAGGCGCACGTTGGAAAAAAAAGAAGCAAAACCCACCTAATAAAGTATTAAAGATGCAATAGTATATAAAAAGATGCAAAAGTCAACTAAATGAATTACTTAAGTTCAATATTCAACATAAAGATGTCAAAGCCAACTAAAAAATACAGAGCTTCAAAGCAATATTAACATTTCAATTTAAAAAGGCAAAAAGCAGAATATTATTTCATGCAAAAAACACATGGATTCAGACTATTCAGTGTTAAGTTTGATGTTAATTTGACTTCAATTTGGTGTTACAATTTGATGTTAAAAATGCATTTCCTCAAACAGTCAAACCAATAACATTCTAAGAATGGAACAAATACAGGCATACAATTTGGTTGCATGATTTCATGAGATCCGAAAAAATTTGACTAATACAAAAAATTTCACCATTTGCACCATCGTATATGGGTGTTGTCATGAGACATTTGAGGGAAAAATTAATTATTGAAATTTAAAGCATATTAGTAGTAAAACTGAAACACTACACGATAGTAGAAACCAAAGACTATACAAACCAGTTGAATTAATTCTTGGACAAAGACTAGGACAAATAAGTACTTACAGCTCTAATCTTGATCAATCTAGCAATTTAAGCAAATGTATGGTATTGTATCAAATATATATATAAAAGTAAAAAGTAAATGCATCCATTTGGATAACTTTATGTATTTGGATCATAATAAAATAAAAAATAAATAGCAACTGTTATTTTAAGATTAATAAAAAGAAGAAGAAAAATAAAAAAATAAAAATTCTGCCAAACTCGACTGGGCCGAGAGAAGAAAAGAAGAAGAAAAGAAGAAAGAAGAAAAGAAGAAGAAGAAAAGAAGAAAAGAAGAATAATAGAGGGGAAAAAAAAAAAAAACTGAAGAAGAAAAAAAAAAATAAAAAAAAAAGGAGAAGAAAAATAAAAAAATAAAAAAAATTCTGCCAAACTCGACTGGGCCGAGAGAAGGAAAGAAGAAGAAAAGAAGAAAGAAGAAAAGAAGAAGAATAGAGGGAAAAAAAAAAAAACTGAAAACTGAGTCGCTGACGAAGAGAAGAGAAGGAAGACTGGAAGAGAGAAGAAGAAGAGGAGGAGGAGGAGGAGAGAAGAAGAAGAGAAGGAGGAGCAGAAGTTGGAGAACTTACCGGCGACGCAGATCTGGCAATTCCAACGCAGATCCGAGACCAAGTCATCCTCGTCAGTCGTTGCTCTCGCTGCCTGCCTCCGTCTTTGCTTTACTTTACTTTTTTGTTATCTTTTTTTCTTCTTTTTATGTTGTAAGTTGTAACATTTTAACTAATAAAATAATAATATAATAAAAACAATAACAATATAAGAAATAAACAAAGAATAAACAATTAAAAATCCAGCATATTGTGAAGAAAGACTTAATAAACAATCAGGCGCCTTTAAAGAACCTTTCGCCTTGCGCCTGTGCAGAAAAGGCGCGCGCCTTATATTACACCTGCGCCTTAAGTCCCTAAAGGCGATGCGATGGCACCTGGAGGCGCGCGCCTTCGGCGCCTTTGACAACTATGCTTCTAGGTGTTGGAGATGAACTATCCCAATTTACTCAACCCTAGAAGAGTATAAAAGAAATTGTGAAGCTTAAAAATACCTGTTTTCGATCACAAAACAGCAACACAGAAAAACATGTGTAGGCAATGTCACAACTCACACGATGTCGCAAACTAAGGTGGCTGTCGCACAAGTAGCAAGGCTGTTGAAAGGTGTGGAAAGGTGTTGACTCTGATACCAAGAAGAAATATAAAAAGAAGAAGGAGAGAATTGTGTAAAGGCTTGAATGAGATAAATCACTCATATACAGCTCTAGTATTTATAGATAAAAAGAGCGCATGCTCATATTACAAGAAAGGAAATTAAATCAAATCAAAGCATATTCTAAAGCATATTCTATGGCATATTATATAACATAATCAAATGTCTGCTAATATGGAAGTCATTCCATAAATCGTGGCTATCATATCTGCTAACAAGTACACCATTTCAGTCCATGGAAACAAGATAATATGTTACAAATGTGGTAAAGAAGGCCAGAAGTCATCTGATTGTTGAAAGGCAGCAAGTAACTTGCTTATCAATGAGGGTGATTCAAACAATACAGAGGGTCAATTTGATGATGCACGAGTTGATGAAGGTCTGCTGGAATTTGAAGAAAATGAAGTCACATTTGAAGATAGAGATCTTCCAAGTCTGGTGGTACGTCGAGCCATGTTAACACCAAAACAACCGGAAGGTGATTGGAGGTGAAGCAACATTTTCAGTACTAAATGTACATTTCACGGACGACTTTGCAACGTCATTATTGATGTAGGCAGCTGTGAGAATTTAGTTTCCAAGGAGATGGTTACAAAGCTGAAACTAGAGGTGCATCCACATCCAAAGCCATTTAAGATAGGTTGGTTCAAGAAAGGAGGTGAAGTAAAGGTAACAGGACAATGTCTTGTTCCTTTTTCAATTTGGAAAGTTATTCAGATAAAGTTTTGTGTGATGTGGTAAATATGGAGGCTTGTCATCTCTTATTGGGAGGACCATGGCAGTTTGATAACAAGACTGTCCACCTTGGTAAAAAGAATGTTTATGCCTTTTATAAGAATGGAGTTAATATGATCCTGGCTCCAATGGAAGATGAGGACTTTCCCAAGTCCAAAAAGGAGGAAGGACATGCCTGCTTAATGTTGCGGCAGTTTCTTAGTGAATTTGAGGATAGTGGAGTTGCATATGTGCTGCTGGCCAAGGAAAGAAAGGAGGAACTGCAAGAAGTACCGGCTGAAATTGATAAGTTGTTGAATGAACTAGCTGAAGTTTTCCCTGCTAACTTGCCTGCAGGATTGCCACCACAAAGGAGTATCCAACCCCATATTTCTGATCTGCTTTGGGATGGACTCTTGGTGCGACATATGGCCAGATGTTGTTCCAATGCAAAAATCAGATTAATTCAGACCTTGGTTCTTGATTTGTGGTCAAGCAGGTTTTGGCAATCTACTAAATTTCGAAAGAGTTATGAAAGTTTGTGCAATGGTATTCATTGTCAATAACGGAAGATTATTGAGCTTTGTTGGAGTAAGGAAAAGAAGAAAGGGAGTTTGGAAGGCCTCGTTTGGATTTTCAATAGATCGTGGTAAATTTTTTCAAACTTGAGGGCGAGTTTTCTTCAGGGAGTAGGGTCTGATGCAAATAAAAATTAATAGCCTAGGAAAGTGTCTAGTCAAAGTTTTAATTATGGTTTGGGAAATCTGAAAATGTAGTGGGAATGGTAAAAGCTGTCATTAATGCTCGTTGGGTAGTTTGAAAGTCAGTCTAGAGAAAGTTAAGTGTCATTAATAGTTTTAGTATAAAAGGGACAGCCCTCTTATCAGTTGTATTCAAGTCTTTATCAATATAATTTGAGTTATTTTCAGAGTATAAACAGTTCTTAAGGCTCTTTCCCAGATTTCCCTTTAGAAATCTAGGCTCCGACGGTGATTGGAGTATTCCTAGTTTCCCTCACAGTTGTAAGAAGACTTCTTCCTTTTTCTTGTTTGCTTCAGTATTCAACAAGTCTTAATGTCATTAACCAAGACCTCATCATCAATCTTAATCAAATAACTTGTATAATGAACTTACAAATGTTTGTATTTATGCATGAACACACACATGTACATATCATATTTATGGATTCATGTACCTCTTTGTGTTTGTTTTGAGTATTTGTGCTCTTTTATTGGATTTGGACCTTCTACTTTAGAATCTGATGGGATTTAATTTACCCATATTTGCAGATGAAAGCTTGGGCAAAAGCACAGGGTATTAACAGTTCAAAAGACAGAACTCTGAATTCTCTATCCATAATATCATTAGTTGCTTTTCATCTACAGGTATGATGATTTTTTCACATCTTAGTGGTGTCTTTGCAAGCACATGCTTTCCTTCCTGTTGATTTTATATGTAATTAGTGATAGATCAAAATTAATCAGCAACTGTCCAATATAGTTATATAAATGTGAAATGCATATAGATTGTCTAGGAAAACTCGAATGACATTTTAGAAGTTTATGAGATGTCATAGCTGTCAAAGAGAGAACATGCTACTAGTTATAGGCTATGTTTTAGAAATAATAGAATTTATTGTGTCAATTCTCATACACTACTCATTTTTATCAATACCTAAAAGATATTTCCGTGGAGTTTCTCTCCATAGAGTTTCCATACAGGACAATAAAAAATACATATTTTGCATGTTTTATTATTGTCTTTTATTTTCTTTTCAATTTTCTAAATATGGGTTATGGGCATGCATAATTGTCACGACCTAGTTCCTTATAAGTAAAATTGGATGGAGTCTTGAATAAAATAAACCACGAAATGTGTTAGCATATATGATATCCACGATTTATGGAATGACTTACTTTAATAGTAGAGATTTGACTATGCATATGTTAGCATATATGATAGCCACGATTTATGGAATGACTTACCATATTAGCAGAGATTTGATTTTGCTATAAAATATGCCATAGAATATACTTTTGAATATATTGTGATTTGATTTAGATTTGATTTAGTTTCCTTTCTTGTAATATGAGCATGTTCTCTTTTTATCTATAAATATTAGAGATGTGAATGAGTGATTCATCTCATTCAAGCCTTTACACAATTCTCTCATTTTTCTTCTTTTTATATTTCTACTTGGTATCAGAGCCAACACCTTTCTACACCTTTCAGCAGCCTTGCTACTTGTGCGACAGCCACCTTAGGCTGTTTGTGACATCGTGTGACGTTGCTTACACATGTTTTTTGTGTTGCTGTTTTGTGATCGAAAATAGGTATTTTTTAAGTTTTACAATATCTTTTTTACTGTTCTAGGGTTGGGTAAATTGGGATAGTTGGTCTCCAACACCTAGAAGGGCTTGGGTAAAAAAATAAATTAGTTTACAAAGAGGTTCCGGATATTAAGAAGGAGGTTGTCAGGCTATATGTAAGAGGGCAACGCTCCTTAAAAAAAGTATGTAATTGGAATTTTCGGGAATGGTCTGAGGAGACATTGTTATTCTTTACGGTCTGAGGAGACCTTTTGATTTATTAACAGAATTTGTGGTGTTTTTGGAGTTTTTTTATTGTCGTGTGATAGATTATGGCAGATTCAGGGTCCTCGACTATTATTCTCTTGGCTCAAGTTCTGTGGGTGGTGGTGCCATTTTTCCCACCAACTCATCAGAAAATCCAAGACTTCAAATCACCACAGTGAAGTTGGATGGTTCTAACTATTTGATTTGGGCACAGTTTGCCAAGATGTTCATTGATGGCAAAGGCAAGATTGGCTATATTACTGGTTCTGAGAAAGAGCCAGCTGAGTCAGAGAAGGCATATCCACAGTGGTTTGCAGATAACGCTATGGTTATGTCTTGGCTAGTAGATTTGATGCAACCAAACATACTTGTTGGCTATATGTTTATGAAGACTGCTAAGCAGATTTGGGATTCAGTTCAACGCACTTATTCTCAGAGGCAGAATAATGCACGGATTTTCCTGGGGTGAGATATCACCAGGATTTCTCGGGGTGACTTGACAGTTTCAGGTTACATCGCCAAGCTTCGTGCTATTTGGGAGGAGATGTCATATTATGATTACTTCCACTCTTGGAAGGATCCAGATGATGCAGTTTTATATGCAGGGATTGTGGAGAAGAATCGAGTGTTTTAGTTTCTTGCCGGGTTGAACGATGAGTTTGAGTATGCTCGTGTTTATTTATTGGGCTTATCTTCATTCCTTACTCTTGAGGATGCATGCTTTTATGTGTTGTCAGATGGGAGTCGTTAGACTCATCCATTAGGTGTTGCTTCTGTTGATCGTTTTGCTATGGAAGTTTGGGTTCCCAACCTTTCAGAAACTACACTATCCCAGTCAGTTCAAAGCTCTACCACCGGTCCTCCTCTGGGACGACAATGCAGACGGTGTGAGCATTGCAGAAAAATTGGTCACATCAAATCTCGTTGTTATGCTAATGGATGCCCACCGCAACAGAAACAATTGCCTCGATCCTTTGCACATTCTGTTACACAACCAGTCTTGTTTTGAACTCCTGACAACTCTGCCTCTACATCTTCTGCCACAGTTACCTTGACTCAAGCTAATTTGGATTAGTTCAAACAATTCTTCAACCAAATGGAGGCATCATCTCAGCCAACCTCCACTTATGCCCACTTAGGTATTATTGCGTCTGCACATAGCGTATCTATATCTTCGACACCATGGATCATTGATTCTGGTGCTTCAGACAATATGACTGGTATGTCCTCATTCTTCTAATCTTATAGTATCTGCTCTGTCCATCTCAAGGTACATCTTGCGGATGGCTCTCCCTCTTCCATTGCTGGGAAGGGTCACATATAAATTACTCCTTTATTAACTTTGTCAGATACATTTCATGCTTCATAGTTGACTACAAATCTTATTTCTGTTAGTAGCGTTACCAAACATTTAAATTGTAGTGTTACGTTCTTTCCCTCTCATCAAGGACGAAGGCAATTAAGGAACCGCGGCCCCCCCTCCTCCCCCCCCGGCGCGTATTTTCTCCCTCTCATATATTCTATATATATTTTATAATAATATATATGTTTTTTAATGAAAATATGGAAAGTGCCCCCCCTGAATTTTCTCATTCTTCATAAAATTCTATATATTTTCAGATTTTTTTCTCCTAATTGTTTCCTTAATACTTATATTCTATATCTGTAAATTAATTTAATTCCAAAAATATCACTATCCCTTTCTATATATATATATATACACTTATATGTTTATACATTATATTGTAAATATATGTTACGGTATACAAATACTTATAATGTGCCCCCTCTGGAAATTTTTTCTGGCTCCGTCACTGCCTTTCATTGTATTTTTCAGGATTTGGTGTCGAAACGGACGATTGGCAGTGTGCGTGAAGTGGACGGTCTATGCCTATTGGATGCTCTTTTGTCATCTCAAGCACATTCAGCTTTATTTTCTAATTGTGTTTCATCTAATAAAGCCTATCCGTTGGCACATGCATTTAGGACATATTTCTTTTGGTTATTTAAAACATTTATTTCCTTCCTTATTTTGTAATGTGGCAGTGTCAGATTTATCTTGTGAGACATGTCATATGGATAAATATGTTCGTTCCAATTATCCTGCTTGTAGTAATAAATCTGCTTTAACACCTTTTGATCTTGTTCATTCAGATGCGTGGGGTCCTTGCCCAGTTACTTCCAGTCTTGGATTTCGATATTTCGTGGTGTTCATTAATGATCATAGTCGTGTTATATGATGTATACACTGTTTTAAATTTTTTTTATGACAATGGTTTAGACTCAATATGGTCGTACCATTAAAAAATTCAGATCTGACCAGGGTACGGAGTACACTTATGGGGAGGTACAACGGTTATGTATATAATTTAGGATTGAGTATCTGATGGCTAATGTTAAAACTCCTTAATAGAATGGCCGTTCTGAGAGAAAGAATCGCTAGACTTAACCAGAGCAATCTGCATTGGCATGAATGTTCCCCATTCATTTTGGGGAGATGCAGTTCTTACAGCTGTTTAAATCATTAATAGGACTCCTTCTAGGGTACTTAACTTTGCAGCCCCACTCTTAATCTTACATCCTAATTTATCTCTGTTTTTTGATTCCTCCGCGAGTCTTCGGGTGTGTGCGCTTTGTTCAGTAGTTGGGGCAGATTCGTGCAAAGCTTGACCCCAAGGCTTTGAAGTGTGTGTTTTTGGGCTATTCTCACTCTCAAAAAAGATTATAGGTGTTACCATCCTCCCAGTCATCGGCGATTTATATCCATGGATGTTTCTTTCTTTGAGCATACACTGTACTATAGTGGTTCAGTTGGTTCTCAAAGTGAATGGTTCCCATTGAATATAATGGATGATCACCTTCTTCCGTCTTCAACTCCTCTCCCGTTACCTGTTTCGTCTTCTATGATTCCTCCTCGTGATACTCCTCCAGTAGGGGGAATTGTTCCTTTTTTATAGGTTTATAGTCGGAGACAATAAGTACAAGCTTCCACTCCCACGATCGACTGCCCTGTTCCTTCGGCACTAGCTTTGCCTTCTCAAGCTATTGTTTCGCTAGATGATCGCCCCATTGCTCTTCGAAAGGGTAAACGTTCTTATATATACCCTATTTCTAATTTTGTTTCTGATTATGCTGTCTCACCCTCATATTAGAGTTTTCTTGTTTCTGTTGCCTCGGTTCCTTTTCCTTCTAGTGTTGCAGATGAACTAGCGCAACCTCAATGGCATGATGCTATGACAGAAGAACTACAAGCACTTGAGAAAAATCAGACTTGGGACATGGTTCCATTTCCTATTAGACGAAAGGCTGTGGGTTGTTATTGGGTGTTTACAGTTAAGCATAATCCAAATGGGTCAGTTGCCCGGTTGGTTGCCAAGGGTTATGCTCAGACTTATGGCATAGATTAGCAGGAGACTTTTGCCCCTATTGCCAAGATGAATATCATATGTGTATTATTTTCCGTTGCTACGATTTGATCTTGGCCTTTATTTCAGTTAGATGTCAAGAATGCCTTTCTCAATGGTGATTTGCAGGAGGAGGTGTACATGGTTCCTCCTCTGGGCTTTCGTTCTCCTGCTCATTCTAGTTTGGTATGCCGTCTTCGTTGTTCTCTGTATCGCCTCAAGCAGTCTCCTCGAGTTTGGTCTGATCGCTTTGGCACTGCCATGCTCAAGTTTGGTTTCCATCAAAGTGCAGTTGTTCATACGTTGTTTTTACGTCATTCAGGCGGTAAGACAGTTGCTCTCATTGTGTATGTTGATGATATTGTTCTTATCGGCGATGATACTATCAGAATTGCTGAGGTTAAG